GGGGAGGGTGGGGCGGGGTGGAGGGACGCAGGGACCAGCCACCAGTCCGGGAAGCCTCTAAGCCGCAGCTGCCACCTCCACCTCCTTATATATTCGAAAAATAACAGCGGCCGCGCCGCCGGACGCCACCAATGGGGGCGCGGGTTGGAGGAGGGCGGGACCGAGGGCGGGGCCCGCGGGGTGAAAGGCGCGGATGCTGACCAGCCCGGCCCAGCCCAGTTCCAGTCTCTGGTCGGGGCTAAGGAATTGGGGTTTCTCCTAAGCCTCCACGCACCGCCCCCCGCCACCCCAGCCAGGACTCGAGGATCTTGGCTGCCCAAATTCTGCTTCTCGGGATGTGGTTTGGAGTTACCCCCGGCGGAGAGGGTTCCTGAGGAAGCCACACCCGCTAGGGTGGCCTCCGAGGGAACCCCCCGAGATTTAACATCACCTACACTCACGAGTAGGCACCGGGAGAGGCTCCACTCCGGGAGTTTGCCAAACACGGCTACACGGTGCGGTCCGTGTTCGTCACTCTATCGACCCGGACGTTGAGTCGTGGAAAACTTCATTAACTCGTTCAAGGTCACACGGGGCAAGTGGTAGAGCAGAAATTCACCCCAGGCGCTCCTGCAGCCTGTCTTGTCCTCTTGACTGGCAGCGCGGAGCGTCGGTAAAGCCTAATTGCCAAGCGGAGCCTACCCCCTCACCCCGCACAGGAGGTAGACCCGAGGTGCGGGCCTCCGTGTAACTCATGGGGCCCCAGGTTACCTGTGACCCCAAGAGGTCCAATTTTCTCCAGCAGCCTCAGAGGAGGCTCTAATGGTTGACCTAACCATAGGTTTTGGCGATTGCGGCCAAAGAAGGTATCTTTGACCTCAGAACCAAGTTATGGAAATATCTCATGCCCACTGACGGTTTGGCTAAAGTGATGTTAATGGCATTACATTGTTTAATTGGTGTTTCTTCGATGACCAAGGAAACAATCTGTCACTAGTTTAAACTGAGCATCTTCTAACTGATCACTTTCCAGCAATCTTGTTTTCCTGGAATGAGCCCTGGAAGCCTGCACCCAAAAGTGAATGGGCAGTAAGTGCTTTTGCATCCTGTCTCCCCACTGAAGAGGGGGCCTCTGGCTGGGTGGTGCACAGCTCAGGCAAGCAAGAGCTCAGGCTCTTCTTTGCTTCCCTGCGGTCACATCCCTCCAGCCAAGGTGCAGTGGGTGGGAGTGGCAGAAGGGAGGGCCTGGCAGTAGGTGGTTGGGTGGGCTAGGGGACTTGTGGAAGAACGGGATGCAAAGACCCCAGTTCTTCTTTTTTTTTTAAAGATTTTTATTCATTTGACAGAGAAAGACACAGCGAGAGAGGGAACACAAGCAGGGGGAGTGGGAGAGGGAAAGCAGGCCTCCCGCGGAGCAGGGAGCCCTATGTGGGGCTCGAGCCCAAGACCCCAGGATCATGACCTGAGCCGAAGGCAGATGCTCAACGACTGAGCCACCCAGGCACCCCCAAAGACCCCAGTTCTATCTGAGAGGGGTAGGAAGGTGCAGATCATGACTTTTCCTTCTCCCAACGTTTTGTTCAGCTTCTGTCAGGTGCTATGCTTCGTGCTGGAGAGGGCTCAGATTTCAGGTTCATCCACCCTGGATCAAGAATCCAGCTCCCAACATCCAGCCACTACTCACAGCCCAGGATGTGACTGTCCTGGGGAGGAGGGTGGGTGAGGGTGTGGGTGAGGGAGGAGACAGTCCCACCTGAAAGACCAGAAATAAAACTGAGGGGTTGCATTTTCAAAATCAACCCAGCAAGGATTACCACCATCCAACACACACACACACACACACACACACACACACACACACACAGGGTGTAGGGAGGGTGTGTGTGTATGTGTGTGGCCAAAAAAAGGTGGGGGAGTATTATACTCTTGAATTCTTTCAAATTCCACACTCAGAGGTCACCTCTGGGCAAGTGATGAGAGGCCAGGTGTCATTCCAGAGCATCCCACACATCAGCTCTGTGTATCTTCCTGGATCTCCTTTGCCAATTAGATCACAGATTATGTGCTCAATTTAAAAAAAAGGTATTCAACAAAAAGAAGCTAAAATAAATATTTGCAATAATATCGTTAAGAGGAATGACTCCTCCCATCCAGCCAGGTCCTGGTTACAATGACAATTCAGAGCTGCAGAAAGCTCCACTCCCCATGAAAGGAATACCCTGGCTCTGGACTATCCCTCTGGGCTTGCTTGAGGGGGTCCAGTGTGACCCCAGTGCCTTGGCAGAAAAGAAGGGAAAATTATCACACGTTTCCAAAATCCTTCTCCAAGCCTGTTCCCACACAGCATCTTCTGTGTGGGACTCACTTTTCCAGTGCCTTTTCTGTCATGGCTTGAGACATGTTAAATGGTTTTTAAAAATTGGGACATGGCCGGGGTCCTGGGATCGAGTCCCGCATCGGGCTCCCTGCTCCGCGGGGAGCCTGCTTCTCCCTCTCCCTCTGCCTGCCTCTCTGTCTACTTGTGCTCTCTATCTCTCTGTCAAATAAATAAATAAAAAATCTTAAAAAAATAAAAAAAAAATTGGGACATGGTACCAAAAATTCAAACAAAGGAGAAAATTCAAATGGTGCAAAACAGCAGTGAAAAAGTCAGTCTCCCACCCTACACACACCTTCAGGACCCCTGCCTAGAGACAGCCACCAATATGAGTTTGTTGCATATTCTGGAGACAGTCTGTGACAGTCCTAGGCAATCGAAACATAATGGGGAGGCACAGATATGAGCCATATACATAATTTATTTTTTTTAAAGATTTTATTTATTTGACAGAGAGAGAGATAGCAAGAGCAGGAACACAAGCAAGGAGAGTGGGAGAGGGAGAAGCAGGCTTCCCACGAAGCAGGGAGCCCGATGCGGGGCTCGATCCCAGGACCCTGGGATCATGACCTGAGCCGAAGGCAGACGCTTAACGACTGAGCCACCCAGGCGCCCCGGAGCCACATACATAATTTAAAATTTCCTAGTAGCCACATTAAAAATATGAAAAGAAACAGCTGAAATTTTAATATTTTATTTAACCTCATATATTCAAAATATTATCATTTCAACATATTATCAATATAAGAATTATTAGATATTTTAGATACTTTTTGGTACCATTTGTGCACTTGACACTCACAGCACATCTCAGCTTGGATGTGACACATTTCAAGTGCTCAGTAGCCACATGGGATTAACTGGGCTACCACAGTACACAGTGCAGGTCTATATATGTACAAGCATATGTATGTCCATATTTTTACAAATATAACAAACTGTGTGAAACATTGTTTTACCCCTTGCTTTCTTCATTTTACTTGAAGATGGATCCATATTAGTACCATAATGTCATATATTTATTCATTTCCCTAATGCTGAACATTTAGGTTATTAGCTTGCACACTGATGCAGCAAGTATACACAGTAGTAATTCCGAAAAGGGAACTATTAGCAGGTGCCTGGGTGGCTCAGTCGGTTAAACACTGACTCTTGATCTCAGCTCAGGTCTTGATCTCAGGATTATGAGGCCCAGGATGGAGCCTACTTAAAAAAAATAAATAAATAAAATAAAAGGGAACTATTGGAAGGTATGGCTCTGTTTATTGAAATCTTTTTTTCCCCTTCCTGAATTTCATCTCCTCAAGCTGATTAGCTGTTGAAGTACAGGGACCAAGTCATTTGCCTCTCCTCCCATCTCCCAGTACCTCATATAGGCCCAAGTCCAAGGTTGGCCCCTGACCCAATATCCCACTTCTAGGGATTTCTCTCTCTCTCTTTTTCTTTTTTAACATTTTATTTATTTGATAGAGAGAGAGTGAGAGAGAGAACACAAGTGGGAGGAAGGGGGGAGGGAGAAGCAGACTCCCCGCTGAGCCAGGACCCTGGGATCATGACCTGAGCCAAAAGCAGATGTGTAACGGACTGAGCCACCCAGGCGCCCCTAGGGATTTCTCTTAAAAAGATGATGAAAGGGACGCCTGGGTGGCTCAGATGGTTAAGCATCTGCCTTTGGCTCAGGTCATGATCCCAGGGTCCTGGGATCGAGTCCCGCATCGGGCTCCCTGCTAGGCGGGGAGCCTGCTTCTCCCTCTGCCGCTGCCTCTCTCTATCTCTCTCTCTGACTCTCATGAATAAATAAAAAATAATAATAATAAAAAAAATAAAAAAATTAAAATTAAAAAAAAAAGATGATGAAAGTACACACAGATGTATGTTCACTGAGTCACTGTTAATAGCAATGAAACACAGAAAGCAAGCTGGGTGTTCTTATAGGCGAGCAGCTAATGAGGTGACTCCTCTATAGTTTGTAATACCTGCAACTTTTAAAGAGAACAGGCATGGGGGCAGGTAGGGATGCTTGGTACCCAGCAGGAGCCCAATCAGTAATTGTTGGTATCTGAAAGATTACATATTGGGCTTTCAGAAAACGGTCTTTTGAAGAAAGGGTTCCTAGAGTAAAAGAAGTTTGAAATTCACTGATGGAAATAATTATTGACATGAAAAGATGTTCACATTATGCGCTACAAAGTATCATGCCAAGTGTGGTCCCATTAAAAACAATATGAACAGAAAAGTATCCCACAAGGATATTCTCTGAGTAGTGGAATCAAATGTTTCTATCCTCAAAATTTGGGGTATTTTGGGGGCGCTGGGGTGGCTCAGATGGTTGGGAGTC